CCAAACCCCAGGCTTAGACCACCTGGAGACCAGATCTCTGCTCTTCAGAGTGAACATTTCTCATAACACCATACTGTGGCTCCAGCCTTGAGGTATGTGTAGCATGTTAGTTTGCTGCTCAAGAGACATGAGTGAAACCAGAATTCCAAAAGCCACAGTATGGTCCCTGATTCCCTCAGTGACCAGAAAGAGGAAATTACTTTGGCCAATTAATTCCGATATTTCCAGACATATTCAGAGGAGAGTGGGAACTACAATGTGGAATTAGAAGCTAAAGCAAGTCCCAAAAGGATGTGAGGGGGAAATCAAAGATAATTATGCCCACTTAGGAGAGACATAAAAGGTTTGGATGAGCCTTTCAGCCTCTGAAAAGGGTACAAGAGTCACTGTGTGGAGGTCAGCAAGTGCCTCAAATATTCATCAAGAAGGATGATTTTGAGACAGTTGATTATGGGGCATTACTAAGGAAAACTATATTCAGTGGAATATCCAGTGGAATTCAGCTCTCACCTCAGTAGAGAGTGGTATTGTAGGAATAAAATTAGCAGGTGTGAAGACCTCATGAGAAATGAGCGAGAGTTGGGGAGATATCTATGAAATTGTTAAACCTGGATTCAGCACAAAGAGCAGATTCAGTGCATAATGAAAAAATGGTGTGTGCTCGGATGCGGGACGATAAAATGCATTTTGTGGAAATGAAAAATTATTGCTGTAAGGTATAATCAAACAGATAATTTGATAATAAAAAGATTTTGTCTGACAAAAGCTATATTGGCCAGTAAAAGCATTGAAATACTTTTCTGTTGATTAAAGAGGCATTAACAATAAAATGTAGGGAATAATTACCAAAGCAGGATGTAACACTGGATGCTGTAAGGATAATAGAAGGATCTTGGAAAGGCATTGGTTTTGGAATGAAGGTAATGAGGGATAGGTTTTGGTCAGGAGAGGCAGAAACAATTAGTAGAGGGAGAAGTAATGCTGTATGCTGATGGTAGGAGAGACTGCCAGGGCTCAAGAACTGCATGGGCAGAGCAAAACCCATTTGGGTCCAAGTGATATAGAGTAAGATGTGTAAAAACATTGAGACTGAGTCATTCCAGGAATTTCCTATAGGTTCCCAGGCTGGACTGTAAGCTAAGACTACCTTCCTATATGGAGGGAGAGATAGAGAGGGAGACAGAAAGATCAGTATGTGTACAAGTGAGAATTGTATCATTATGGAACCTTTAATTCTGCACACATGCACTGGAAAATAAATGCTATCAAGAAAGGCCCATACAGCCTGAGTGTAGGCTGACTCATTCTTTCACTCAGTTATGCAACTAATACATGACTGGATTTTAGGTTTGATTTTGTAGATGGTGAGATCTCTTGAGAACATAGTGACTTTGGACCTGTGATCATGAGATGAATCCATGGAAATATAATCAAAGTGTTAAAAGAGAGACCTGCAACTTAGAAAGACCTGCAACTTAAGTCCAAAGGGGCAAATCTGTTGAAGAGCTCCAGGACTGTTGTGTGCAGGGAACTTTACAGGCAAGGGTGAAAAACCCCTTTGCTCTTGTATCTTGCTCAGAAGGGGGACCAATACTACAGAGGAAGGCTCCAGACTGAATCAAATGCAAAGTGCCCTGCAAACAGGATGTTTGGACTGGGCAGAACAAAGGGTTGCAAGGGCTAAAACCGTAGATGACCAGCAAAAAAAAGGCACATCTTAGAGGTCAGAAGGCATAGATAGCTTGTGAGAATTGCCAACTGTCAAGCTGAGCTGAACCTTGCAAAAGAAATTAAAATCAAAACCAGATGGGTTTTCAGCTGGAGGAGGAATAGGAGAGAAAGAACATGGAGATTAAAACTACGGCACCAAAACTGGAGAAATGTTTTGCTTCAGGATGCAGTTTTGTGAGATAGGGTAAGATGCCTTAAAAGATTACTGGTCTCTGGCAGCAAGCAGAGGCTCTGCTGTGCTTTCCCATCTCCCCACCACAGTGACGAAGCCTCGCCCCATGTCTTGCACCAGTTCCTGAACCCCTTAGCAAACCACCCCAGAAAAGCATGTGGCCAGGGTTTTTCTGCTGTTTTAGCAAGTTGAATCAGCTCAGAAAATTGACCAACAAGTACCCAGGTTGGCACCAGGGATGAGTGAGGCCATGGGGAGGTGAAGGAGGAGAAAGGCAGCTCCTTCCCCTTGCAGCCTGTGCAGTGTCAGGCTGGCTCAGCTGCCTGTGACAGCATCACTTTTCTTTTGGTTAAGGACTTGGGTGAATTTGCAAATGAAAGGAAATGAGGATGAGGCTATGAGAATGGGAATGACCACATAGGAGGAGGACAGGAGACCTGGGGACAGATAGACTCTGTCCCCAAATTCTGGAAGGAGAAGAGTGTGAATTGGCTAGCTCAATAGCAATGATGCATTCATTCAGTCATGGGTAGTTCATGTAACTGGTAAATAGGATCTGGGCACCATGGGTAAATAGGAAAAACAGGAAGAGAATGAGATGTTTTGAGTAACTATAGAGCCATTAATTTGACCTCAAATTTATACAAGGTTGTATAATAATTTTTTGAAGGAAAAAACCTGACAACATGGAAATTAAAAGAAAATGGGATAAAAGGCAACCAGTTAATCACAAGTATATTGTATCCTTTTCACCTACTGTGTGAGCTGATCCTCTTTATTCAATCCTAACACAGAAGCCAGGAATTGGCTCGTTTTCTTCCGTCAGGATTGTTTTATTCATTGGCCATTCACCAAAAATAAAAAAAAAATCCTATTTCAATAGCCTTAGGAAATGGATGTTCAGCAACATTCACTGTAGCTCACTGGGTTTCTAAGGGCCTTACAAGCAGTGGCTACAACAGAGTGATATATCTTGGTGGTACAGTGGTGCTCATGGGTCCTGTCAGTACACACTGCTCTTGCAAAGCAAAAATCCCATCCCATCACTGCTGTGTCTTTCAAAATGTCCTTCAAAATACAGCAGAGCCCTCCAAACAACATCTATAATTACGTGTTCTTCCCCGGGCTCCCCTCGGTTCTTTATTACTAATTTTGAAGGATTTTGCTCAGAAAGGTCTTTATACTCTGCAGGCACTGCTGAATTGGAATGGGAAGCAGGGTTTCTTCTCATTGTAAGGTAGGCAGGGCTGCCTTCCAGTTTCCCAGCTGCAGAGATTTATAGCCACTACCAGATTCACTAGGTGGCCAAGGTTTTATAACCCAATTGAACAGAATAAAACCATTTAGACTGAAAGCAATTTGATGCAGGACTCAATGACTTTCAGGAACTTGATGTATTACTGTGATCATGAAAGCTACAAATTATATATATATGTATATATTTGACAAATCACTTTCAAAAACAATTTAATTATTTGGAATGATTTAATCCGGGTTGACAGGCCTGCAAAGCATCTCTGGGAATGAAGCAGAAAACCTTGAAGTGTATGGAAGATTTTCAATTTGTGTTAAATCCTGTTCCAGAGAGGAGTTTGGTATCCTTCCCAAGGCTTCAGACTCCCTTGAATACCAATTCCCTTGGAGGATCTCCTGTGTTAGGTTCATATGAGCTTGTCTGAGGCTCTATGCAGCAAAATGAAAGTGGAATAGCAAAATAGGCATCAACTTTTGACACCCTTGGCCAAATATTAGGGAGACCAATGTCTTTAGGGCTGCTGGCTATCCCAGCAACACTCACAAGACTTGAACTTCCAGAGATTGCCCAGATTTTTTTGTTGCTGCTGCTCCATCTCCCTCCCATGGTTAGACACGCTTTTTGGAAATAATGGGCTTCACGCTCCAATTCCCTCATATTTCAGAAGCCCGGGTGTCTGGCCGTATTAATTATTTCAATAGTCAATGTATTAAATATTGCAATTCTCCTGTGAATCAAACTCCAAGGAAGGCTTGCAGAGTGCTCTCAATACAATCAAAAGTATGATACATTTCTGAACTAAAAAATACCTAAAGAGACTTTCCTGAGTTAAATTTAAGCAATCTGGGCTTAAGCACATTTCCAGGGTCTGCTTTCCAGGCCATTTTACCATGGGAATGGGCACCAGTCCTGCTGTCCTCATAGGATGGACATTTCCAAGGTGTGTTATAAGCCTCTGTCCTGCCAAAATGTTCTGAGCACTGGCTCTGCACTGACAGAGGGAAATACATGTCCTTTTGCTGCAGGAATGGAGATATTTGGAGGGGCTGCGAATGTTCATCGTAGTGGTACAAATTATTAGTCCCCAGCAAGTTTGCTATTGCAAAGTCATTTGGTATGAGAGGGAAGAAATGAGTCTGGTGTCTGAAAGAAGACAAATAAAAATGAAAATTAGGGATTAAAAGCTATGAATGACAAGGACATATCTCAACAGGAACCTTATCTCCAAGACTGGAATGCCTTTCAGTACAAAAACGGCTGCTAATGAATTCTCTCCGTACAACCAAACGCCTTGGCTGCTCCCACCCAGGCTCCTGCAGCTGACGCTTCCCCGCAGTTTTCCTTTGCTTTATTGCTTTCAGATGCTGCTTGGTTCGAGCTGCTCTGGTAGCTGTGTCACTGCCACCAGCACGGGGAATGTGGCTCCGTCTGCGCGGCGTCAGCCCAGCCTCTCCAGGGGCCGTCTGACAGCACAGCAGAGCTGCCTGCCTGCAGCCACATCATCAAAACCCATCCCTGCTGCTCAGCAAGAGCAAGCCCCCACAGCTCTGGCTCAATTCTCCAAGACTCTCAGGCATCAGGAGTGTTCATTCATCACTAATGGAGAAGCTGGTGGGAATGACAGTCTGCCACCAGGAGAGTTCTTGCTGTTGCCTGCATCGCACCCGTTGGGCCTTTTTGAGCTGTCCCTTTGATTTAGTGGTGCAAGTTAACTAAAGCTCTGCATATCTTTTCCTTCTTGTTTAAAACACTCCTCCACATTCATTTTGCTCTTGCCAGCGATCCTCAGATATCTTTCCAGGGAAAACAATCCTGGATTTATTTACAGCACATCGGTATTTATTTTAGCAACTCTTTTTGGGAGAAGGCAAGGAGAGATCTGAGCTCTGCAATAAGGACCTCAGAATGTGCTCTGTGCTTTCAAGGTAGGGGCATTTTACTTGAAGGGTTTAAAGGGCAAGAAGAATGTGAACACAGGTCAAGAACCTGTTTTTCTCAATGCTTTCCATGTGATGTGTTTTTATAGTGCAAAATCCATGAGCATCCCACATGGAAGTGGCAGCAAACTCCTTAGTAATGTTCCTGCTTTGAAGGCAAACCCAGGTAAATATTTGTTTGATTATTTTGTTCCCTAGAATTGCCTTTGTTTATTTTGTTTTAATATCCCCCTACATATGCACGTACACTCCAGCTTTTTTTATACCTTGGCTAACAAATGCCAATGAATTAAAATGAGACATTTTGTTGCCCCAGGATATCCCATGGGAAGAGTTTTCTACTGAGAAATTTAAGACTTACATAGAGTGAAATAAGGAGGGAAAGAAGAAAAAGGTTGCTACCTGTTTCTGTTTCCTCCTTCCCACTTTTTTTCATTTTCATTTATCTATAGACAAATTTCAGTGGATGACTGTCCCTGTCCCCAGATAGCTTTGAAAGAGAAAGCATGCTGAAACCATGAAGGCAAGTGTAGATACTGGTGAAAATTAATGCTTGAAATCTCAATAGAAGCCATGTCACTTGGTTATCAATATTTCTTCTTCTTTCCCTCTAGAAATGATTTATTTGTTCTTCATCACAGCAGTGTTTTGAAGCCCCAGCTGTGCTACAAGCTGGTGATTTCAGCCAAGGGTTTTCAAATTGCATGTCAATGCAACCCTGTGGGTGTGTGAGCTGCTCTAAAAAGAATGTAAATGGAGAATGTAAGTCTATGGTCAGGAGACACAAGTCTTTGATGCTGGAGTAAAATGCCTGACTACTTGATTACCTCTGTAGCAAGGTGTGACTTCACAAGGTCATCTGCACTAAAAGCAAGGAGGGACCCTGGCATTGACATCCCGCTGCTGTACTGCATTTGTGATATTTGCAATTTCTGACCTCCTCTAAGAGGCCATTCCTGTCCTGAGGAATTTTACCTCGTCAACCCAAGAACATCAAGCACAAAGTGGTTTCTGGATGCACCATCTCAATTCCCACTGCAATAAGTTTATTGCTTATGACAGGAGGGTTAAAGCTAAACAAGCAGCCTGATTGATTTCTGCCCAAGAGAAGGCTGAGTTTCAAGAATGCTGTTTACACAAAGGGCTGATTCTGATCTACCATCAGAGTAATTTTCATGTATACCAATATAAGACAGATCCAAAAAAGGCCTTTGGCTTGCAAAGTATTTTAGGGTTCTTTGGGGAGAGGCAGCTTGGTAAAAACACAGATTACAAAGAGAACTTTCACAGTTCTTGATGCAAAAGAAAAGCACAGGAAGATGTGCCTTTGATGCTGATCCTCTGAAATGTCACTCTGCCAGTAAGGTACAGGCTGGACCTTCCCTGCCAACATTTCAGTATGCCCTGGCTAGACCAAAGCTATTGGCAGTCATGGGGCTCCTTCTGGGCTGCTGGAACTGCCCAAAATTTGAATCAACAGAGATGCTGGTGCAGTCTTGGTTTTGCTGGTATAATCTCAGTTCTTACCTCCCAGTTTAATTTTGTCTGTGAATAACTCAAGATGTCGTTTAGAGTAAGTGCAGTTTTTAGCCACTTAGCTGAGCTAATCCCTATGGTGATTGAGATTCCCAGTGTACAAAAAACTTTATAAAGAATCAGGGAATGCAAGAGCAGGAGTGGGGGAGAAAAAGGAGAAAATATTAACTTTTTCTCCCAATCCACTGCCCTCTGGACTTCATACACATGATGGAAGTCACTGTAACCTGTGCAGTCATTCTGGAGTGAATTTTTCTGAACTAGTTTTGTTTTGTTTTTGTTTTTGTTTTTGTTTTTTAACTCATTGCTAGAAGGTTCTTAGTCCCTGTCCTGCCTGCAAACCAACACACTCTATCAAAGGTGAAAAGGAGCTTTGAATTTGCCTGTGGTTTTGTGAGACAAAATCTCTAGGAGAGCAATAGCAAAATTTTCAAGATAGTGAATATGAGTTGAGGATGCACAATGCTTTTGGAAAAACCAGACTGAAACCTGAAAATTGATGAGAACTTTTAAAAGTGGACAAAACCCCAGGAACATTCGTGACTTTTAAAGCCATCATCCCACATCACTCCACATCTACAAAGTAACTGGATTTATTAATATTTCTCTCAGAACTGTTGTGGAATATGCAGCAACAGAAGTCTTTAAAAATTGATTTGATAAAAAATTAGGACTATTTTACCTAGGATTGATCCTTTCCTGGCAATGAACTATATGAACATAATTACAGCAATCTTATCACATCCAAAGTGTTAAAGTCTACCTAAAATATGTAATTTTTAAAGTAAGAAGACAGAATCAAACTGCTGAAGTCAATAGACAGACAGTTAATAGCTCATAGTAATGAACATAGGAAATCAATTACCCTAAGAAAATTGCAATCACGGGGACAGAACTACAGTGAACAGATATATATATATATATACGCACATATATATATCTCTTTCAACTTCACTTCAGTGAGGCGCCTTTATATCAAAATATTATTTATTTTCTGTTTCTAGCCTGACTGAAGAGCCTGTTCATCAGCCTCTCTGTCATGAAAAATATTTAACACTGTTCTCTTGGGATGAGAATGGAGAACAGAAGACTCTAAAGTTAGAGAGAAAATGTAACTCCATACTTAATAAAGGTCCCAATCTAGCAGAGTCTTCATGATTTTAATAACAAATCTAGCAACCACAGACTAAGCCTAAACTACCAGGTTCTGATACTTTCATCAAAGAGACATTACTCCACAGACTCCCACTGGAATCTGTGGGGATGCCTGGAGAAATGCCAGGCATGACCCAGTGGAAGAACAGCATCAAGATCTTGTCTCTTTATAAACATCGTTAGAGTTACTTTCTTAATTCATCCCTTTAAATTGACTGTATTCTTCCCAGAAATATAGTACCCTCTTCCCATGGAAACTGCAGTAACCAAGAATGTTGATTTTGCATTCTTCTCTCTATTCCAGCATATCAGCAGGCATTTAAAAGATTTCTGTATGCATCAGAATAAATTACAGATAGGAGCAATGAAGTCACAGAACTGAGCAATCCAGCACTTAAAGGTGTTTCTGTGTGAAGTCATAGGAGGCTGCAGTCAGAAAGAAAATAACAAAGATGATTTGCTTCTCCTGGTGCAAGCCAGTACCACCATGGGGCTCTGAAAAGTTCCACTAGAAATCCTGGAAACACAAGCAGGATCCTCGTTTCCAAAGCTCAATCCAAAGGTAGCTGAAAATTTGCGACACATCATCTTCCATCCCTGCTAGTCCGAGATAAGTTGCAGCTTTAGATTGCACATTCTTTCTGTGCAAATTCCATGCAATTTTACACCACTGTTTTCAGTCCATTGTGGTCAATGGTTCTTCTGATTCCTCTCTGTGAGCAATACTTCAGTTGTCACAGGGGCCTGATGCCATCAGGACAGCCTGCTGTACTGAGAGATCTTCAAATGAAAATAAAACTGTCAAGCTCATCTGGTCTTCTCTAATGGATATGAATGAATCCAGCAAGGCATGCCAAGTTTTTCATGAACTGTGTGGTGTTATAAAAAACATGCTGCCAATGAGGTTAGAAACCCCATCCTTTATGCCTTGTGGTTTAGGATATATGTGCTGTACTGGAATGCTGGAAATAGCAAGATGTGTTAGTTTAGGCACTTTAATAAGAATGTCTATGTTTATGAATTGGCTTAATTTGACTTCTTTACAAGCAATATGTGTTCTCTCTGTCTTGAATTGTCCTTTTTTTTTGGTGGTTTAGACACCACTACTATTACTGGCTCCTGGCTGACTGCATACTTGACAAAGTTTGTCATGAGGTCACGATTTTCTGGCATCATGAAAGAGATGGCTGTGCAGTAAACATCCTTGCTGCCATCTCAGAATATGTGTTCCAGCTTTCCTCGATTTCTTCCAAGTAAATACAGTGTGAAACTACCTGACAAAGACACCTAAGCAAGTGGAACAGTGAAGAATCTGAAGTACAGAATCATTTTACACTGACAATGGTTCTTTGTCTGGATCTCACCTTCAGCCTCTCTTTGCTTTGGTTCCCATCTGTTTATTATGCTATCCAGCAACAGCTTTATTTTCCTGGTTTTCCTGAGGTCCCACTGCTCTGAAGAGGTAGCAGGTGGTCTGAGAGATGGAAAGGCCAGAAAAGCTGTTCAGACTTGTGAGGTTTCAAAGAGCTCATGGGTACAGAGGGGAGCAGGCTCTTGTTTGCCCAGAGGTTGTGCACCACAGACCTGCCAGTCACTCTGGTTATATTCACATCTGGACATCAATGTGGTGTGCTTTCCTTGTGCCCTCCCTCTCTCAGGCTTTGGCAGTACTGCTTCTCTTGGGTTTTAGGACAGGGACAGTGTTTTCATGCTGGTTTGTGAAGTGCTAAGAGCTCTGAATCAGGTTGGATCTCTAGGATGTTCCAAACTTATCAAGATAAATCAGGTCTTCGGTAATGTCATTGTTGCCTGTCATTTAAAAACAAAATGAAACAAACCCCCAAGTCCATGCTATGATTTCTTTTGCACAGATACAAGTCATCAGACATGAAGCTTCCATATTTGAGAAATTTATGTTTGGTCTTCAAATTCCAAAGCAGGTCCAATCTTGCCAGAACCTTGAGTCTTAGTAATAAATCTTACAGACCTAGATCTTCTTCTTTGCTTTGAGTCTGTGCTGAATGGTGTGGAATTACATATTTTCTACTGGCTTAGTTCAGGGAGCTCCAGGGAGCTGGCAATGAGTAATGCCAAATCACTTGAATTTGCTAATACCTTTAACTCTGTTAGAGCTTGTTTCTGCACCTACATGTGTTTAAGCTGTGCTGGTGACGTGTCTTTACATCCTGAACCTCCTGCTTTTGCATTGAAAAGGGTGAGAACAGTGACAAAAGCTTGTTCTGTCTTTACAGGGGTGTGGGGTTTGGCATCTTCTGGTCCTTCCTCTGTGGTTGAGGGGTTACAAATCCAGAGGCTGGAAAGAGCTTTTGTAAAGGACAAAAACCCAGCCACTGGTTACTTCAGTGAGCAGAGTTGTACAGATGGATGTTGTAGCTGTGATGGTTTCAGTATACAAGAAAACCATGGTTTATAGAAAGAGATAATATTTTTATTAGTCCAAATGATTAAGAGGCT